CAAGGCAGCGGGTGAGGCGAAGTGGAGGCCCATTTACTTGGATCGATTATTCCTCCACCGATTTTTTATCGACTGAAACGCCAAATTCCAGGCGCATCCCCAACCTGGAGGACCAGGAGACTGAACTTTATCTGACCTCTACCCATTGACCTTCCAGGCATGATAAGATCTCCTCGCTTTATACAGCCATCCTGTGTAGCTCGTTGGGTCACAGAGGTGCACAAGCCATCACATCACGCCAAGGTGTAGTCTCGTCGTGACGTGCGCACTCTTCACGTGTGGCAGACAATCGACAGAGCAGGATACCAGCGAGCAGTTTATAGACAATGTTCATCAAACTAATTCCTTCGTGGTTTTCACAAGAGGTGCTGTTGCCTTACTTATAAATCTGTATGATCACCGATTAAAACCATTCCATCGGAACCTCTTCCCTCTCCAACACAGAGCCCAGGAGTTTCGTTGCCTCCCTCCTTAAAAAAGGATGGGGACAGCTCGCCGGGGCCGGAAGCTTTATACCTTCTGAGATAGCTTTTTTCTCGGGTAATCTCCATTTCAGATGGGGTACTGGTGTCAACCTGCACAGTTGAAACGTGTAGAGAGGTGTCCTGTGTCAACGGAGTCCAGCTGAAACGTGCTTTAAAATGTTCTGTCCAACATTCAGAACGGCATTGCTAATGATAAAACAGTGTGCCGTCAGACTCGTTAATCACCGCACTTACGCCTACGTTCCTTCGACCTGTACTCCTAATTAATCCGAAAAGATTGCGACTATCCCCGATAGCCGCAGCGTTGCCCATTTCTCTACACTTCCCTACCCACCACTTCACGCGGTTATTCCTCAGACTCTTGATGAGCTGGTGTTCCAGGGTTTTGCGCCCCTCGTTGTATTTGGCATCAGAAGTAATGGCTTTGCGAGCGTCCAGCTTTGTTCGCTGCTGTGAAAATATCGAAAATATCGAACACTATGGTACTTCAGCTGTATAAAATCTTATCAATATGATCAAGAAATGGATATCTTTTGTTCCGAATTTGGTTCCTATCGTCATAGTTGGAACCTTAATACTGATACTGAGTGACCTGGCACGAAGGTGTGAAAACCCTAATCAGTAGACTCGGTCACACGTCCCGTTAGGCTCCGTGGCTGGGGACCCCGGGAGAATCGAAACCGATGGCTAGAGGCACTGGGTAATATGGTTGAGTGTCATAAACAGTGGCGTTCGTGCATCTCAATTTCTTTGCAACATTAGTCCACCGAAAGTTTCTATTTCCTATTCAACTCTACTTTCAACCTTTCCTGCCTTTCTCCTCATGTTCATCCAAATGGGCAGCCAAAAGACAGCAACTAAAACTGGCGCACGAAAGTGGATGGTTGTTCAAACTGAAACTGGTACGAATACTACAAAAGTATAGGCTCAGTCAGAATGACGTTTCTCCTCATTTGTAATGATCTTTTGTCACGCTTTAATCCGATTCAATTTCTAACCGCGCCCCCGCCTAATCCATCCTTGAACCACCCTCATCTCCTTACAGGCAGTCTTACACGATTCATGTTTTTCTCTTTTTTTTTAAAAAATAGTCAAGTCAAGTCCAACGTGTTTCCAACTCCCCGTCTCACGTACTCTGTTTTTGCGTTCCTCGCACTCAAGCATCTCGATGTTTTGGCTGCAGTCTGCGTACGAACGTAAAATCTGGTGTGCTTCTTCTCTACTCAGCGCTTCTGGCCCAGAGCCGTTACCCAACAGTGCTAGCACTGTGGTTAGTGTGAATCGAGTGTCATTGTATTGATTCTCATCTGGTAAATATCCGTACTACTCGACAAAAAACGAGAAGAAAACTTTGAAACCGTGGTTCTGTTCGCTTCTTATGTAAAAGTTTTTATTCAATCTAAATATCCCTAGAGGTTGGTAAGATGTGTTTTCTATCAGGAAAAGCAAAGTAACGATGTGGTCACATTCTTCCCCAGAACCGACTGAAATTTTCCATCTACCGGATACCATTGAGCTCTCTCTCTCGCTTTCCCCGTACGTATCTTGGTACCTGATTTACAGAATTAGCGAAGATCTATTCTGGCGAAACTACTTCTATCGCATGGGTCTCTTGAGACAGTCTGCTCACCTGGCTGCTGTGACCGGGGCCGAGACACAGTTGGAAATAGGAATGGAATCCCCCGGGAACTTTGTATACATTGAGGAAAGTGAGTAACGAATAGACAATGTATTTCAATGACTCGTTATCTATGAGTTATTGGTTAAAATTATGTTTTGTTGTTCTACTGGTCCATGAAATAATGCACAACACATTGATGTTAAATGCAAAATTCCCTGTCCGTTTTACTCCGTGTATTTTTGTCTGGTTGCGTTCTCATTCGTCGTGCCATTATCCGTTCGTCACGCCGTATATTTATACTACTGTGTTCCACGGAGTAGTTCATTTGTTTAGTGCACAACAATTCCTCGTTGGCCGTGATGCACTACACGATGATCGTTTCAAAGTGAGCAAAAGATTCAGTATAGACAACGTGAAGTGCTCAACTGCTGTTTTACCGAAAAGTAGGTTTTTTCGTCTAACAACAAACACGGAGGTCATCAAATTTTCCGTGATCACACACACCTTTTCCGAGGGTCCCTATCAGGTAGTCAGGCCTGCGTGTCCGGTGATCTTTTATCTCTTCATTCACATACTTAGTACTTGGGCAGTGTCCAGTTCATCGAGTCATACGCCTTTTGGGTGGGGTTAAATGTTCAGGGTTTCCGATGCCGTTCAATTCCCTGACTGGTGATCCATGGTGTTTGTGTGCGGTTCGTACGCCTATTTCGGTCATTTTGGAATGGGGGTTTTCAACCAACATCCATTTTTGAACTTTCAGTAGTTCACCGACTCGGTTGTAGTCCCGGACGTCGGGTTTTCATCCTCTCACTTTGAGAGGCAGTGAATTATGCTTCTCAGTAGAGGCTGTTTAAGACACTTTATCTTATAGAAGCATTTCGTGAGGTGTAGGGAAAGGGTGACCAGCCACAACCCGAGATACCGACCCTCGACGATGCTGAGGTGTCCGGAGGCTGACAGAGCTTAGCGATCGAATCAAGTTCCTACGAATCTGATAGTCTTATGCGGTACTGCGTTTACTGTTTTCATCACCAACGAGCCTAAAACATCCACAAGATCTGTTCACTGTTTTTACCTCGATCTATACGCTTCGTCATCCCATAAACCGCGGTTTTACATAAAAGCTGAGTAGAATACGCAGTTTTATTCATAGTGGAGTCGTAAGTTGTTTGTCTGAACATTGCTTCCCGTTGGAGCTCAATGAACGCGCTATTTAGGTCAATCGTTCACCATCAATGGAGCCGAAACCGAACCATTCACTAAAACCAAACAATCCATCCAGTAACTCCTGTGCATTTCTACGCGAGATAACTTTCGGCGTGTGTATCACTTCACATTCATCTTCGCCATTGTGACGCTTAAATTGATTGGTAACAAATTGCGTAACGAACACAGTTGAAATTTGATACAATATTTTTCAGATAACTTCGTCATCATTCTCATCCAAGTAGACGACTTATTCTTCCAAAAGACAGTCAGTAGATACACACCGAGTAGTTCTTCAATCGGATCTTACTTGTTCTCAGGTGGTTGGATTATCGGTTTTTTAATGTGATTTGGAATGGAGTTTTCATGCTAGCATTGATCGGTAAGTCCTGAAGTATTTATTTATTTATTTTCACCCATGTCCGAATCCAGACTGTGCTAAACAAATCGCGGTATAATAATCATTATGAAAAAGAAAAACGTTCCATGATTTGCATGTGGGTGGAATACTTCCAGGTTGCCCAGGCCAATGAAGATGAATTTTCTTGAGGAATCCACAACCAGAGCCTTTGATTAGCCAAAGCCTGACCCGCAAGGTAGCGGGGTGGTGTGCGAAAACCGCAACCCACTGGGCCCGGTGTCCAGTTCATCTGACAGGGTAAAACGTCCAAGGTGCGCAATACATCTTGACGCCCAATCGAGCCGGTGACCACTGCCACAACCAGAAACGTATGGATGTGGTTCGTACGCCTCCTCTGGGTTGGCTTGGAATCAGATGTTTTAGCCAACTCCCCTAGGTGAACTACCAGTGGTCCACCAACTCGGTTATAGCCCCAGATGTGGACTTTTCGTCCTTTCACTTTGGTGGGAAAATGCCTCTGCCACGAGAAGGCAGTGAGTAGGACTTCCTCAGCAGAGGTAATTCGAGACGCTTGGTCGTATAGGAGCATTTCTCGAGGTGTAAGGGAAGGGCGACCAGCCGAAACCTGAGACAACCACCCCGATCATACTGAGACTTTTAGAAGCAGAACTGTGTGCTGTCCAGCGCGTACTCAGATCGCGAAAAGTGAAACAGCCGCCAACTCGCGGCTAACCCTGAACAAAGTGGACATAGGTTTACGGAGTAAATGGTCGCGGACGATCAGTGGCACTGATCGTGGATGTGCTGGGCCCACATCTTGGCCAAATTTTTTTCCTACGGAATACCACACGTATATGTAATGTAGCGAGCTTGACCTGCCACTAAATATGCCCATTACCTGATAAGTTTAGCTACAAGAAGTGAATTAATCAAACAAATGCTCACCGGCTCGTCTGGAAAAGTACTTCTGCCTTGTAATTCGCTCTTGTGCAAAGGATACACCCCATTTTGAACTGGATGACTGAGTTACACAGCAACGCACACAGCGATGAAGTTTTCTGTTCCAAGCGTTCCGCATATAAAGCCTTACTCTCTATGGCTGTAAGCAGCTCTATACCATACACACC